AGTTAGTGATTGTATGAATAAAGAATTTCAATGGGAATTTAATACATTACAATTCCCTGCAGCTGTTCATTTTTGTGTAACAGAAAAAACTATTGGATGTGAAAAACAATTTATAGAAGATTTAAATAAGGCACTAGATATCATTAGAAAAGACCCAAAAAATCCTAAATATAATGTATGGGCACCAGTCTATGGAATGACATCAAGTCTTCCTGACATTGATACTCTTGAAGATATGGTGAGTCAAGTTATTGCTCAATATTGTGATGTTATCTAAATAATTGAATACTTTTTTATCTATTTATATTTATTGTATTGTTAATTCTTTTTAAAAATAAGTGTTTTATTTTAATTCTCTCTTTTCGTATTTATTAAAGAATATATCACTATATTTAACCTATGTGAGACAAATTATTTATTTCTAATAGCTGTTTATAGTCATATTGTAAATCTAAATTATAAAAGTCTTACCAAAGAAATATATTCAATGGTAACAAATACAATGACTAATAATTAGAATAGACAATAAGGAAGAAATGGCTATAAAATACTCATGAATACTAAGGTTTTAGGCAAGTAGGATTTCTTTTTTGTAATAACAATCGAGTGATATCCCAACATTGAATCAATAAATTAAAATTACTAAACATTTCTTTTAAACGATATTTGTCCCCTAAAAATTGAACAGTTCCTGCATATGAACTATATTCATCAAGAAATAATGTTAACATAGAAGGTGCACAAGTCATTCCTTGAGTATACTCTAAATTTTCTGTTCTTGAAGCAAGTACATGAAAAATATTAAATAATACTTTCTGATTACCTCCATATGGTACTTCATAAGTATAATGCAATTGAAATGTTCTTTTTACATCTAAATTTAATTGCTTATCAATAGGTGTTTTTGTGTATGGTTGATTTAATCTATCAAACTCATCTTGTAATGTTTTATAATCTAAATCTTTAAGTAATAATAATTTCCATACTTCACTACGTACTTCATCAGGCATTCCTTTATATAATCTATTAACAAACTTGGGATGAAATACCCCTTTCTTTAATAACAAAATCATATTTTCCCACTTTGGAATACGAAGTGTCATTTGTTTTATTTGTTGTTTTGTTTGTTGTGCAAGAATAAAAGGAATTGACTTTTCTGTGGCATCCACAACAAATCCATATCTGTTTGTATTCTCTGGTTTAACAACACTATTATTACTAAAATCATAACACAACTTTACATCAGCACTATCAATATCCAATATCAATCTAACCAACAAAGGTAATTGTAACTGGACTGCATATTCTAATGGTATCTTTCCATCATTATCTTTGATTCGAACAAGAAATTGTGGTTGAATAATACAAAATATGTCTAGACTTTCAAGTCTTCTCAGTGATTTGAATACAAACAATTATTACTTATCGTTTATTAATTAATTACCTAAAAAGAATATGAAAAAATATATAAAGGAATGGGAATCATACTTGTTGTAATTCTAAAAAAAAAGATTTAAGGAAAATAATTTTTTTTTATAAGTAAACAAGAAACACCTTTTTAACCTTGTTATATGATAAAATATGAACAACTGCTATATGTATTAACTGAAATTTCTATAGAGAAGTAAATTAAAGAATGATTTTAACTTAACTTTTCGTAATTAATAAAAAATAAATCTTGTATTATTTTCTTATAAAATTAATGAAGAAATTGAATAAAAAAATAGAAAAAATACTTTCATGGAACTTTTTTTTAAGATAGGAAAATCCTGAGAAAGGAAAATAACTGAACCAATTTATTGCTGTTTTACACAAAATTTAATAACAAACAATGAAAGAAAAACAATATTTTTATAAAACAATTCTCTTTTAACAAAATTAAGTTATAGCATTGAAAATAGAAAGATCTTTCAAATAAAAAGGCGAACTAAATATTATATAGAAAACTATGTCAAGTGATAGTGATTCGGAGGATATTGCAGCTGCACTCGCTAAGAAACGTGCTGAACGAGCAAAGAAATTTGCTATTTCAGATAGTGATGATGATGATGACATTAAACCAACAACCAAGAAAACTACAACAAAAAAATTTTCAATTTCAGACAGCGATTCTGATGATGAAGACATCAAACCAACTGCTAAGAAAACATCAACAAAGAAAGCATCATCCGATGACTTAAGTGACGACGATGAAGATATTGCAGCTGCACTCGCTAAGAAACGTGCTGAACGAGCAAAGAAATTTGCTATTTCAGATAGTGATGATGACGATGATATAAAACCTGCTGTTAAGAAAACTACAACCAAGAAATTCTCAATTTCAGATAGTGATGATGATGATGACATTAAACCAACAACCAAGAAAACTACAACCAAGAAATTCTCAATTTCAGATAGTGATGACGATGAAGACATCAAACCAACTGCTAAGAAAACATCAACAAAGAAAGCATCATCCGATGACTTAAGTGATGACGACGAAGATATTGAGGCTACGCTTGCTAAGAAACGTGCTGAACGAGCAAAGAAATTTGCTATTTCAGATAGTGATGACGATGATGATGTAAAACCAGTTACTAAGAAAACTACAACCAAGAAATTCTCAATTTCAGATAGTGATGATGATGACATTAAACCAACAACCAAGAAAACTACAACAAAAAAATTTTCAATTTCAGACAGCGATTCTGATGACGATGAAATTAAACCACCTACCAAGAAAACATCAACAAAGAAAGCATCATCCGATGATTTAAGTGACGATGATGAAGATATTGCAGCTGCACTCGCTAAGAAACGTGCTGAACGAGCAAAGAAATTTGCTATTTCAGATAGTGATGATGACGATGAAGACATCAAACCAACAACTAAGAAAACTACAACAAAAAAAGAAGAGTCATCCGATGATTTAAGTGACTCAGATGAAGACATCAAACCAACCGCTAAGAAAACATCAACAAAGAAAGAGTTATCAGATGATTTAAGCGACGATGAAGACACCAAACCAGTCACTAAGAAAACTACAACAAAGAAATTTTCAATTTCAGACAGCGATTCTGATGATGAAGACATCAAACCAACTGCTAAGAAAACATCAACAAAGAAAGCATCATCCGATGATTTAAGTGACGATGATGAAGATATTGAAGCTGCACTCGCTAAGAAACGTGCTGAACGAGCAAAGAAATTTGCTATTTCAGATAGTGATGATGACGATGATGCAAAACCAACAACCAGGAAAGCCACTGATAAAAAAGCAGTATCTAGCAGTGACTCAGATGAAGACATCAAACCAACCGCTAAGAAAACATCAACAAAAAAAGAAGAGTCATCCGATGATTTAAATGATGACGACGATGGAGTTGGAGCTTTATTAAAGAAAAAAAAAGAAGAAAGAGCAAAAAGGGATGCTGAGTTTGCAAAATTAACAGGAGGTGATGTTGATAATAAAGTAAAGGAAGCAATTGCTAAAAAGGATCAAAAAGTTTCAAGTTCAGAAAGTGACAGTGAAGAAGAAAAGAAAGATACTCATGTTGTTGATTCTGAAGAAGAAGAAAAGAAAGAAGAAGAGGCTGATAAAAAAGCAATGGAAGAACAAAAGAAGAAAGATGAAGAATTTAAGAAAAAGCATGAGAAAGAAGATCCTGTTATGAAAAGAGCAAGAGAAAGACAAGAAAGACTTAAACAAATACAAGCCGCAAGAGAGGCTGCTAGAAGAGAAGCTGAAGAGAGAAGAAATAAAAAGCAAGAAGAACGTTTAAGAATTGAAAAAGAAAGAGCAGACCAAAGAAAACAACGTGAATTAGAGAATTTAAGGTTACAAGAACAACTTAGAAAACAAAAAGAAGAAGAAGAGAAAAAAAAGAGAGAGGAAGAAGAAGCTGATCAACAAAAGAAACTTGAGAGAATAAGAAAAGTTGCTGCTGCAGAAATTGAGGAAAAAGAAAAAGAATTAGCAGAAGCAAAACAAGGAGAAGATCCTATGGTTGCTTATAGAAGAAGACAAGCTGAAAGACAGGCTGAAAGAGAAAAGGCCCGTAAAGAAAGAGAGGAGAAAAAGAAGGAAGAAATGGCTAAGAAAGCTGCCCAAAGAGCTGCTATGCGAAAACAAGCTGACGAAGAATTAAAACAATTTGAAGCATCTTTAAATACTCAAAGAGATGCTGATAAGAAAGCTGCTGATGAAGAAAAGAAAAAGAAAGAAGAACAAAGACGTGCTGAACGAAAGGCTCGTTTATTGAAATAACTTCGAATTTTCTTTACTTATGAATTGACAATTACTAAAGAATTAATTTAAATTTCTTTTTCATTAAACAACTAAAGTGATAAATAAGATGTGAACAAGAACTAGCACAATCAAATAAGTCATTAGTGAGCAGAAAATAAAGTCATCAAAGCAGTGATTGCATTTTCGAGGTGAATCCATGGATTTTGCCCTTGTTTTAATGATTTGTCCTGATTTAATTAGAAGGTTGTTAGGTTGAATGATAGAGAAGAACAACAAACAAATTTATGAATTATTTCAACAACACCAAGTTTGTACAATTGGTCGATGTTTGAGTTCATGCATAAGGTAAAAATTTCTTTTAGTATTAGTGAAGGGGAAAGACCATTTTCAATAAACTCACATAATTTAGGACGAATTAATTTTTGAATGACTTCAACGTTTGGAGTAACAACAATTGTTTTGACAATAAGTTCACAGGATATTTTCCAAGTTGGTTTAAATAAACGTTTAGTTTGAATATATACAAAGAGAGTGATTAATGTTGTTCTTAAATTACCATTATTGGAATTTAAAATCATTTCTTTATCTTTTTGGGTTATATGAGTATGTTCTTGTTGACAAATATTAGTTATTAATCTATCTAATTCGTCATATGTTGGGAGTTCTATTCTAATATCCAAACATCTTGAACGTAAAGGTTTCATCATTGCAGAGATATTTTCTGTGATAAAAATATATCTCCAATTTCCTGTTTCCATTGCTCTTCTTACAGTAAATTGAGCTTCTTTAGTAAGTTTATCAGCTTCATGAATTATAAGTGTTTTTTGTTGAGAACCAACTTTCATTTTATCAATAATAAATTGTAATGTAATTCTATCTCTTAATCCATATTGTGACGGATTAAATTCAACATGAAATGGAGATACTTTTAAAACTATTTCATGATTTTCATCAATTTCATATTTTTCTTGTCCTAATTCTAATACAACATTTCCATAAATCTCTTTAAAACACATACAGCAT